ACAGTGAACTGTGCATCCCAACAGCCCCTTGGAAGATGTAACCATGCATCCTTCCACTGATTTCTTTACTTCTATTATAACTCACCTGTTGCTACAGTTTCCTCACATATACTCTCTAAAGGACAAGCTTCCTGGCAGCTACCGCTGCCCTATTACTCCCAGTTCTTAACATCTTCTGCTAAAACCAAGTGGTGTGGGGAGTGAGCCCGCTCCTCCATACACTGGCTCCTCAGCTCTTGGCAAGTGACCACTCAAAACTTCTACTTCCTTGCATGCGCAATTATATGATGGTCCTGACAGCTACTTCACACTGTTAGTAAGAAAGCTCAGGTAAGAAAGAAGAGGTGGACAGTGCTTTGTTGCCTCTTAACACATAGGTTTTGTTGTTGCTTGCATTCAGCGCCCTCTTTAAATAAGGGGATATTAAGTCTGGGAGTGACGGGGAAATTGTGAAAACTAGAAATAAAGATTGCACATGAGGGTATGCTTGAAGCTGACTAATTTCTTTCAGAAGAAAACAATTTCTTCCTCACTTAATCACATTAAGTGGCTGAAATATTGGATGAGAGAGAGACTAGAACAGTCACTGCACTTTCTGTCCAGGCTTCACAGCTCTTTACATCTGCTCCCACATCTGGAGTCCTTGCTGCCTGATGCCAGAGGCAGGAAACACAAAAGAGAGTGGGCAGCTTCTGAGACTAAGGGGCAGCTGTCCTAGCACTCCAGAGGTCAGCAGCTGTGAGTCCTCCCCACACCCAGCAGTCCCTGTGCCTCTCCAGAATGTACAAGAGCGATAAGCTTCCAGAAGGATTCAGGTAAAAGGATGTGAGAACCTGGAAGGAAACTGGCAGCGGGGTGGGTGGGAGGCGTCGATGACTCTTAAGGTTAAATCAGAAAGCCTTCTTTAAAATTGAGCACAAGAAAAATATGTATAATTTAGTTCTAGATAAAGAAACATTCAGATCTAAGAAATATAAATTAAGATGCTAAAAGATGACTATAGTGTATGTGTCAGCCACTGTGGTAGAAAAATCTAAATTGTGCATTCAGTTATATTATAAAATAAATTAGTATTTCCTATAATTATTATATTTGGGGTCTAAGAAATGAAGCTTTTAAAATTACTACTGAGGACCAAGCTCAGATTAAAAAATGCCTTCCTAGCTATCATCACCTATGTTATCAAATAGTCATTTTATTGTTGTTTTGGATGGATCATAAGTGGTTGTTCAAGTCTTCAACTCTCTGTGCCTGTAAAAAGAGCATTTATAAAAGCTCCCCCTAGCTGGTCCCAATAGTGGTCCCCATCCCACTGCTGGTCTAGAGAGCAGGACGTCCCGCACAGAAAGCCGTTTCACAGGAAGGAGCCACCTATTCTACATCTCAACCAAACACAAGGAGGTAGTTATACAACAATTAGTTATACGTTAGTTTAAACCAATCTAAAGAACAACAACTGTCAAACTACTCACTTTTAAGAGAAAAAGAAAATCACATGGAAAGAGCAAAACAAGTGATTGATATAAAAATAAATCAACCAAACCAATCAAAACCCCTCACCCTCACACAGGCGCCTGTGCCCACAACTGGACATTTCAGACCAGAAACACTTCTGTCAGCTTAGAGCCTGAGCCAGGAGGCAGTGGTTGTGAGACCACAGGCCTTCCTTCAAAAGTAGGGCTGTAGGTCTAAGCATCGGCCTTGGTATCCTTCACTAAGGGCCAGACCACTGTTGAGTTCTCCATCTGTAAAAAGGTCAAAAAGCCAGGTCTTCAAACCTGCTGCTGCACACACACACATTTGTAAGGGTACAAGGCCACCCTGCTCTGGATTAAATGAAAGCTGTGCCATCCTAGAACCAGGCCTCTTGGCTCCATTCTGATCTCCCATCCCCACCACTACGAGAATTCCATAAAAGGCCGTGGAGCCTGCCCATTGCAGTGCCACTGACCCAGCCTGGGCCCATGCACAACCCCTCTCCTTGCACGGCGTTCCTGCACATGGGGCCAGCCCAGCCCTCCCCTAGGTGCTGACATCTGCCTTCCTTTGTCCCATGGGCTGTGGGCTAAGACAATGCAGGACAGGCATCACCAGAGTGAGAAAGGTTCCTGAGCTATGGGGTGGCTCCAACCAGCTATTGGGGTCTCATAGCTCCCTCACTCTGATTTTCACGGGGAATGCCACTGACTTCCTGGGAGCATGAGACATCAACTTTTTAAAAAAAAGCTGCTGATGGTTCTTCAGAGAAGACAGAGAAGGTTCACCCCCCCCCCC